ATCGTGGAAACGTTATGCTTTATCCCTGTTATGTATATTTCCGGTAGATTATTATAAAATTGTAAAATTTCATATAAAAACAAACTTGTAACTTTTATCTTTAACTTAAAGATACAGTATGTAAGATTTCGATAAAGAGCTAGCCATTCTTGCTATAATAGTTCGACAATAGATAATGTAAAGTGAATAATTTGAAATTTTCATTCCAATTACTCTATTGCGAGAGAAGATATTAGCCTTTGAAGGTTTGACAAGACGTTGCAATAATTGCAGCCATTAAAATATGGCTGAACCGTTCTAATCTATTTAATATCTGAGAAATCCGAAGCAATCGAGAGTTGATTATGGCCTTGGATCAGTTAATTATGGCCTTGGATCAGTTAATTAATGTCTAATTAATAATTTAGAAAACATTTCAGGCCTAAAGGAAGTCCTGCAATAGGGAGATATAGCCCTTGCATAATGTATGTTTAATGTCTACATCTACCATTTATGGAATATAAATTTGGTATTTTTATGTGATCAACATCTTTTTTCCATATCTTTAAAAAAAATTTGGTATTTCTATGTGATCAATATCTTTTTTTCCATATCTACAAAAATTATTGTTAAAGTAGCTAAGTCTCTAACTCAATATCATCAAAATCTTCGACATTGAAAACACGAATTATTTGTCAATTCAAATCAGCATTGGTCTTGTGATCTTACAAGGAATAGATAAGCTTCTGATATCCAATATTCAAGACAAAAGAAACATTTTACCACTGGTACATTTGCCATTTGGCACAAGGGACTCGAAGACCGAGGCTAGACATATTCCACAAGTCATGTCAATGCTATATTCTTATATGGACAGCATGCGTAATAAATACCATCGGTTTAGACTGGAATAACCAGACGCTAAAGATCGTCATTCAATTGAGACTTTGGCGCATTTCGCCGAACATAACTGATTAGAAATTACGGTAAAAACAGAAACGATTGAATGTAAATCAGTTTATATACATTCACATTACCTTATTATATTCGTTGCGACCCATTTCTGTCAATTTCTAGGTCCCATAAATATTAGCGATTTAGCTCCTTTAACGTTTTTTATAGTTACTGCTGATGTATTAATGTTATAGTAAATCAATGTCCGAATATAGGTATTTCTTATTGCAACAAATTTCCCCCGTTTGATAAGCTAATCCCAATTGACGTTTGGTGTGTGATTGATGCAATTTGAGAACATTATTGATAAAACTGCTATTTACTCTCAAAAGTGAACAAGTACGAAATACACTAAAATGAACACATTGCATGTATAAACTAGGATGATAATTAACAATTAATTTATTTCTTACAGGTTTTGGGGATATACGGTAACTCGAATGATTTAGTATTTTAGATAATATTATTCACGGGGATATTAACGCTCAGAAATTTGCTTCCTAAACATTTTTTGTGTGGTTTTTATTTTCAAAATAATGGAATATTGAATGATTAAGTATTTTAGATAATATTTTTCATCCATTTCGGGGTCCTCGAGGATGCGTCGTATTTCGACGTCTAATTCAGAAACTTTTCTCACAGAGGGTGGCTGTAATATCTGGGGTTTAGGTGTTTGCAAATTTTCCAGCAAACTCTCGGGTACTAGAGCCATCTTTTTAGTAAATTCCATTACAACCCGAATATTTTAGGTACCACACTCCCTAGAATCCCTACCAGAGGTGCTAGCAAGCTACCAAGAAATCCACCCCTCTGCAGGATTTTTTTCTTCTGTTTCAGGGCGACTTTACGGTCCGCTAAATGTCTTAGACTACGTTTGTGTTTCGACAATCGTTTCTTGTGGTATGCCGAGAGTCGAACTCTCCCTTTCAAGATGTTAAGACAACACTCACACAATGCGTCAATGACTGGTTTACTTGCGTTTTTAATAATATGTATTCGCTGTCTTGGTTTGGCCCGCTTGAGTGCTTGTAATAGCTTGGCGTGACGATCTAGACCATACATTATCTATTTTCGGACAACTGTGTGTAGGTACAGTCGAAAATCAATTGCTTTTATACCTTTGGTACGTACACCGTGGGGTTATCCCTAGGGAAAATACTACTCCGAAGTCTCAAAAGGTCGGGGGTTGTACTCTTCAAATCGAGAAATAAATACGAATAGGGTTTCCTTGTAGCGTCCTCGTAACTTTCACGAACAAAATTAGTTTTCCCAGGGTACATCTGCTTGGCTAATTGCGTTATAGCAGACATGTCTCGAGGGTTCTTAAATATAATCATGTAATGGACATTGAGACTGATCGTCCTGTGATGTTTACCTTTATGAAACAGATTTTGAACAATATAAATGACGGAAGTATTTTCGTGGTGACTTCCGCGGGTAAAGAGTTTTGATACTTTGTCCGTTGTCTCGGCCATCAAATCATCAATGATCAATAGTGTTCTTTCCTTGGGGTTTAGACTAGCGGATAACCCTTCGACAAATTCTACGATACCCGCTAATTCTTCGTACAAAGGTTGCCAAACACCGTAACACCACACGATACGATCTATGGGTTGATCGACAACTTGTGTTAGTTCTAGAATCAAGCGCCTGACCAATTGACTCTTACCCGATTGTGTGGGCCCTGATATCATACATGTAAATGGGGTCTTTAGCCTTACATCCATTTCGTTAGCCGGGGTAAAAATAACTAATTCCATTTAAAAATGTTTAATCTTTTATTATATCAAAGTACAAATGTAATACATATAGAAAATGAAAATTATAATCATAAAAAAAAAAAAAAGTTATTTAGTCAACGTGTGAACACATTCTAGGATTTGAGGTTTCCAATACAACGTTGCGTGTAGAAACAACTCTTCGCTCTGATCGCGAATCTCTAGGACGAATCGTGCTATCTGTAAAAAACGATCTTTGTTCAACTCTAGAAAACAGGATTCGAAGTACAAGTCCCCAAAGTTGATTTCATCGAACCAATAGTCGATCCCCAGGCATGTATGTTCAAGCTGCCCTCCACGACCGTTGAGACAACCTTCACAGCGACCGGTTACACTTTTTGAAATCTCCGTGTTGATCATGTCTCCCAATATTTGCACAACTAACGTACGTATATTTTCGGCAGGACAGTAATGATCGTCATTGACATGCATAGGTTTTGAGCACATGGTGCACGGTACGAGGTGTGTAACGTGTTCCTCCGCATCTACAAGATCCTCGTGGAAAATGAGTTGATTTTCGGCGTAGACCCCTTCTACGCGTACTTCTGTGCTGTAGCAATCAGGCTGGTCCCATCCTTCATTGTTTGCTGCAGAAACACATTCCTCTGGAGTATTGTGCCACGTCTGTCCAGATTTTAACAAACTCCAATCCTTTACCCCGAGACCCGACTTGGCAGGCGAACAACCATACACATGATAACGACCGCGCTTGAACGATCTTGTAACTCGAGACACGCCTGTTAGGTCGGAAAAGGTTTTTTCGGGTATCACCAATTGTCTACCATTTTTTCTCTCCAGAACCATTTGGCGGGCGGTTCCCAGTTCACAGCTTAACTCACTGTTGATGGCAAATTTGGTAGGTTTTGTACAGGATAAATATCTTTTGAAACGATCAACAACCCGACTCCATTCTTTTAATGTCATCTTAAAAACCATTTTACGCTTCAACCCTAAATAACCAGCCTTCAGTAATATTTCAGGGGTTGTATTATCATTGTCCCCTAAACTCAATGTCAAACCGACTGAAACATCTGATATCTTGGGTGAAGCCATGTTGTTTCGTATGATAACTCAATAGTTAGGCATCTATTTATATATATATATACAACTCGTTATATTATTGGTTCGCACAGACCGACCAATAAAAAATACGTTGGACAGAAATTATACACAAATCTCCGTCTTTGCTAAGCCTACTACACCTAGGGGTGGTTCCTCACCCGTAAAATTATTTTCACACAACTCTTTGAAGCTAACTTTCAATGCCTCCCATTGTTTCACGTTTAAATGAACACCCTTTCGGGTAGGTTTTGGCATTCGTTCCTCTTCACACCACCAAAATTTACGAATGTTGACTCCAGGGTATTTGTTGTCGATCGTTACGTACACGTCATTACCAATAGGCACTGATTTCTTTACAATGTTTTTTTGTAAATACTCATCTATCTCTGAGGCAGTGTTCATCAATGCCTGCCATTGCCGCTCGAAAAACATGATACCATTGGGTGTTGGATATCTATCACTCTTAAAACCGTAACCATACAGTCTGATGTGATAACACACATCTTCTTGCCAAATACATTTTACAACCAAATAATCATTTCCAATATCCTTTCGATACAATTCGATACCCATGATGTTAACCTCTTGTTTTCAACTTCATAAAACAATTCTACATTTGAACGTGTAATCACCCCCCTTTTATACCTAGATTTTCGAAACTTAAAACCAAAATTTAACTACACCCTGTCACAAATATGTAGATTAAAACTATTGGCTTAGAACAAAATCGACAAAATCACCTGTCAAGCTTAATGGCGGAGGTCATTGTCCCTTAATGCAGGTATAACTACGCGTGACGTGAACTCAATGTAACCTCTGCACACCTGCCTATAAAGCGAAATATCTTCCCCTACCCCCCCAATAAACAATTCGTGGACCCCATACCCTCGTTACAAAAGTCAAACACGATCAAAGAATACAACACCTGCATACCTTTTTTATTATTCATAACCTCATTGTTCAGTCAACAATAACCATATTCAAACTATAAATAGAACACCTGTGGAATGCTCTGACGTCAGACCTTAGGAATGTGTGACGTCAGACCTTTGGAATGTCTGGAATTCCAAAATTGCTCCGAAGTGCCCTCTCTACTACTCTCGGTCCCTTGGCCAAGAATTGTACAAAGCTTCGGTCACCCCAGACATAGTAAGCATGAGCATTAATTATAATATAAATATATCTAGAACTGTGTACGGATTTATAAACAAATATATTATAACTTACCAGGAGGAAACGGTACAGTATATGTATCCGATAAACTGATTTCAGAAACATAAAAGAAAATATCATCTCTGTACCATTCAAATGTAGAAACACTAGTATTAAACTGAATAGTTATGTTAAATGGACCATTACAGGGTACTGGATTCTCGATGATGACTGTACTGTAAACATGTACTGAAAATTATAAAATCAAGACAAATCTAAATTGTGGTCATTGTTGGTTAGTTTTCAAAGTGAAGTTTGAATCACTACTGGCCGGGACTTTACAGTGGAACCCATCCCATTCACTTTGTGATTTCTGTATACTGTGGCCTGTCCGTATATTTATCTTGTGTTATTGTCTGTGTATGGTGTAGTCCCCCAGCTCTTACTAATTATCCTTAATCCCCACTTGAAATTAAATTACATTCAATTTGAATCAACTAAATATATAGAATCATATTTAATGTAAAAAATAGAAATATACTCACTGAACATTACAAAATAAACCAATAAACTGAGAACTCGAAGTTGCCCCATTGCACTAATACCTATTCCTAGCGCATATCTTACAAGTCAAATAACTTCCTGTTTAACATACATGGCCGTTGTGTTTGTTGTCTCGTATCTGATTTGTGCCCCCCTGCTTACTCTAGTAATCTATTGTTCCCACATGACATTATTGTGACTGTTGGTTGTGAAGTTTATTCAATACTGCACTATATACACCGAATTTTAAATACAAATTATAAATTTCATTGTCATATTCGCCAGGGAGTGATACAACAAGACGTATAGCAGAGAATATGTATCAGAATGATTATAACGCCCATATTATTTATTCTCTTAACCTATTGGACGCCAGTCGTTAGTACTACGTAAAATTAGTTTTACATTGACTGGCAGGGCGGTGTGGGGGTGGGGGTGTCTACTTGCACCAGGTGGATGTAGTAAGAACATTATCAAGAACATACATTAGACCCAGAAAAAAGAAATGCCAAATATCTCATTTACAAATGTAACTCATATAAAATATAAAAACATATTTCTAGGTGTTTGTAGTATATAACAACATCTTTCCTGCTTGTTATTCGAAATAACATCCTAAATGTGGACATTGCTATCTGAATTCTGCACAAAGATTAATCGAGGTTAATTATGGAAGCCTATTGCTGTCATTTCATAACCTCAACTACCACAAACTGAACAAAGCACCATAATCACACAAATCCACAATAATCTACTAATAGTTCAACTCAGTTCACATTAAACATTAGCCGTTATTTGGAAGATTCTGGTGACATTATATTTTTTTTGCATTAGAAACTATAGTTTTTAAAGACAAAAACAATCTTGTTTGGGACAGACCACGGTTACCTAAACTACGACATGGTATATCGCGAATTTCCATAGGAAAGGAAACAACGCGAGAAGTCGAGGGCGAAATAATGAGATAGCTGGGAGATACAGTATTGAGCTGTGTCAGAATAGTTGCCCTCACCCTTCGCAAAAAGGCATGATGGGACTATTGAAATGGGTATGTCTGTCCGTAACAATTTTTGGGATACGCCCACCCCTTTGTATTGAAGTAGAAAGTTTAGAATTGGTGCAGGTATTCGGGGATAAGTAATTGGATTGCTGTTTGCTTTCGGAAACGACACATTTTGTTCTAATTGAGTGAGAATGATACAGTGTTGTGTTTCTTTTCATTATATGAAAACCCCGAGTTCGATAATTAGCATGTTCTGCCCAGTCGAGAGATGACGGACAGAGAGAGAGAGAGAGAGAGAGAGAGAGAGAGTTTGCGTTTAACGTGCACTCGACACAAGCTAGGTCATTTCGGGACTAACATATGGTAAAATTTTATTTCAAGCATTTGCTTGCGCGTAGGGGTCTATAGCAGTGGGAGGAAACCGAAGGACACGGAGAGAAAACCCACAAGGTTTCCTTGTCACGTACAACCTGGGAATCGAAACCACGCCAGTTTTAGCCATGTCAGTCAGTTCCTTGGCATTTTCCATGGCATGTGAAGGGCAATGAAAAGCATCTCGTCGTTCGGTAAATGCAGAACCTTCTACACATTGAAACAAATATTTGATATTAGGTAATCGATTAAGTGTAGGCGGAATCGGGTTCACAGGAATCGGGTTGACAAAACGGATCGAAAACTATCGAAAACTATCGAAAACAAGAAAAATCTGGAAATTACATTTGGCAACATACCAAAGCTGCAAGCCACAATCGTACCGTCAAAATTTACTATAAGCGAAACCCGGCCTAAATGTTCTGACAGTAAGGATCAAACGTTATGGTACATTGCACGCGTATATCCCACAAATTGAAATGAAATGGGGTTAAACGTCTATATAAATAGATAAAATTTTCCTTTAATTTTTTTCTCCTCCTTTCCTGCACTTTTTGGCTGACTTTTTTGGTCTACAATTGGAAAAAAGGGGTCAAATTTTCAATTAAAGCAGTTTTGGGTAATGCTGATGATATTAAAGTGTCGTTTTGCAGAGCAATCATTGTGTCGGAAATGATGTTATATTGGGGATGCTCGCTTGAACGTTCCGGACTGAATTTTTGTCAAAACCAAAAATAGTGAAAAGCGCGTGAAAATGGAGATTTGGAGTTAAAACACATGCATGCATCGACTGCACGAGAAAATATCTCAACCAACCAACAAATTTGTTGTGTTTAATTACGTCACGTCACGTCTGCTCACACCACCCCCGTTGTCGGGACTCACAGAACTGCTAGAGAACCGAATTCCATGTCACTCGATTGCAATGTCGTCAATTCGGAACGTTCCGAGCTGAAAATCGAGCATTCCCCATAGACGTATACCGTGGATGAATTTTTAAAGGGAGATAACTCTCTAGTTTCGCTTGGCTTAACGCTGTGTGTAATGGAAGTGCTTTTCACTCACACGAACTCTTTGATAAAATGCCAAACCAAAGTATTTTATATTTTGTTAAAATATTGATCAAAATCCCAACATATACACGGAATAGTATTTTCTTTTAATACAATTGGTTTGGATATCACTGTTTAATTTATCAGCATTCCCCATAGACGTATAACGTGGATGAATTTTTAAAGGGAGATAACTCGCTAGTTTCGCTTGGCTTAACGCTGTGTGTAATGGAAGTGCTTTTCACTCACACGAACTCTTTGATAAAATGCCAAACCAAAGTATTTTATATTTTGTTAAAATATTGATTAAAATCCCAACATATACACGGAATAGTATTTTCTTTTAATACAATTGGTTTGGATATCACTGTTTAATTTATCATCTATACTCTGTACTCGACTGTAACCTCTTAAATAAATCAGATAAATTTTACTGGTTTTATCTCGCTGATTTATAAGGGCAGTGGGAACGATTTAAAGTCGTGGTTCGCGGGAAAAGCTGGTTGCGCGGTCGTTGAAGATGGACATTGTGATCAAACGGTGTGCCTAATCCAGCGACAGAAACCCATGACCATGAAGTAATCGTGGATGGGATTGGATAGGTACAATTCATTGAAGTTGTCATATACACTCTTAAGACCAACTAGAAATCAGCCTGATTTCTTCATGTTTAGGAATTTGACCTCAAAGATAATGGAAGTTTGTTGAAGAGAATCCTGTCATCAACTTCTCAAAGATAATAAATTGTCGCCCAATTATTATCTATTTAGATGGTGCAGTGTATAAGTGTCATATTACACTGCTCTATATTTAGAATATAAAAGCTAGATGATTTGGAAATCAGGTTCTGTGGGATTTTCAATTGAAATTAAAATTAAAAATGAATAAGAGAATAAAAGAAAATAATCAAATTGAATGTAGAAATAAACAGATTTAATAACAATTTAATATAATAATTATATCATGAAAATAAAATTGATTCAAATATTACATAAAGTAATAATTAGCTTATTTAATTAGATGTAGCATCTTGTTTTAGCCAGGGTATACAAACATAAATTTCAAATTTAAACCAAATCGGCTAAAAATTGTGACCTCTACACTGTTCACGAACTCAAAACGTAATATTTCGTACAATCGGGGGCCATAATCCATGAAGTTACAGTCCAGTACATGCCAATATAGAAAGGAACCGAGATCTTAGGGGGATTAACCTATATTTCAAGTTTCATTGAAATTGGATAAAAATTGTGACCTGTAGAGTGTTCACAAACAATTGTGGACGTCCGGACGGATGGACAGAGCCGACGACAATATACGTCCACATGAAAATGTCAGCGTATAAAAATGGATTCAAATATTACATAAAGTACCGGTAATAATATGCTTATTTAATGAGATGTAATATCTACAGCAACTTCTCTAAGCCAGGCTATAAAATATCTTACACTATTTTACTCATATACTTTGACATTGACCAATTTGATGTTATCCAATTAAATGATTTTGGACCTTTTTCCTGGGGAGATTAATATTCATAAGTAAAATAAGCGTTGTTGAGCACATTATCTTTGTATAACTCTTGCCAGTGGCATTTTACATTCATCTATGCATATTTATTTCCATAGAAAAGGGCCTATTGAGCCATCGTACATGTATTATATGTGACTACAAGGTACAATACTATTTACAAACTTATCAATTATTATTAAAGAAAATTTGATCCAAAAATATCTTATGTTCGTTCAAAAATATGAACATTTACAGATTTTTTAAATACAGGGAGAGGTTACCCCAAAACAATCTATTTGTTATTTAATATACAGCTTGAATATGAAATATATTTGGAAACAGGCGTTGCCATGCAAGAGACGCCAACATTTTGCAAGAGATGGACAGAGAACAAGCTTTAAAAACAAGTTTTTCGTACAATCAGGTATCATAATCCAGGCTGACACGGTCCGAAGTATCGACTGGAACCCAGAACTTTGGGATATAAACATATAATCGGACAAGATAAAAACGTGATTTCTCGTAAAATTGGGGGTCATAAGACGGGAAATTAGGTCTGATTTGCGTGAATATTGAAAGGAACAGAGATATTTGTCGGTAATGAAATATTTACAATACACTAAAATCTGATTAAGAGTAACAACTCGTTATGTAATTATCAGAAAATCATTGGAATTTGTTTGGCCCATGCTAACGTATATACAAAACACTTAATGTCATGTATTTAGCTGTTCAAGTTATCAAAAATCATTGAAAATCAATATACTTGTTCTTCTCAAGACCTTAAACTATGTGTATCAATCTAAAGTCAATCGAAACTATTATATATAGGCGTAAACACGGTGTATGAATATAAAATCAATCAGTTGATAACTATCTGGCAGTCATTATCAGAAATCGTTGAAAATCAACAGGCTTCTTCGTCTGATGACCTTAAAGACTGTGTATATATTTAAAGTCAATCGGATATTAACTTTAGCCCCTAGAGCGTCCACCAGTGATAAAGGGCGATATATGTAACTCTGGCAGTAATTATCGGAATTTGGTTAAAATCAATAGGATTCTTTGTAAACACGGATATTAATTTAAAGTCAATCAGATATTAAATTTACCTCTAAAGAGACCACAACCTTGTATTACATACTTTTAGGCTATTCTTCAAGTGTTATATTGAGTAATTTGTATATAATAGTGTTAAGCTGTTATCTATCAACCTCATCATCGATAATAAATATGATTTATATAAAAAAGAGCTTTTTATTTTAGAAATTAAAATGTTGTCATTTGATACTCACAATGGCAGGTTTATAGCTAT